AACAGAAGTGGCAGAATGTCAATGGCTGGCAGGATCCATTTCCCATTTGGTTTTGTATCAGGTCATTGCTGCCTCTTTCGTCAGGTTCCTCTTCCTGAGTTCAAGTGTTGTCTTGACTGCTCTGTGCTTGGACGGAGGAAATTGGCCAGTTTTCCGTTGCCTAACTCACTGAGAACTGTGGAGCTAAATCTGAATGGAGTCTGGATCCAATAATTCAAATTGAAGGGTAGTGCTTTGCAAGACTCTGCAATGCCCAGTAGGCCATGTTGCAGAAATTTATTACTTGGATCCAAGAGCTTTTTGCAAGATAGCTATCTGCATGTCCGTATGACCAGGATTTTTAAATCTGTGAAAGAAATTCCTCAAGTTAGTTTGCCTGCAAATATGAATTAATATCATCTTCATCTTCCTGAGACAATATCCAGAGGAAAGAGTAGAAGTTTAAGTCTTGTTTTCTCCTGAAAGCTCCCCTGAAATTCCAATGTCATCCTCCCAGTCTTCTATTTTCTGTTTCTTTTACAGTTTCTAATGCCCCCAAATCTAGTTCAAAGGACAAGGGTTTTTCCCTTTGAAAACTGCTCTGACAGCTAATGCTCCACTTTTGTGAACAGCATGCATGCAGGTGCCAGTGCTGTAGTTTACAGTTTTCCCTCTGTATCATTGCTTAATGTCACCCATTAAAAACTTCAGGGTAGAAGCTATGGCTTTAAATTTTATTTAGTTAATGTGAAGGGGAAAGAAGGCATTTGCTAAACATCAGAGACCTAAGCCAAGGGTTATGCTGTGCTGATGTCCCCAGACAGTTCTGCTGGTCACAAACACTAAGGGCTGACTGCAAGGCATCCCGCCCCATTTTGCCTGATACCAGAAACTGAGCTCTGGAGTGGATTTATTTACCTGTATAGATGCTGTTCTGATAGCTAAATGCATATACTTTATCTGACCTTCAAAGAGGCAAGCAGGTTTGTGAAGTAAGGCTTCCCTTTACTAACACACATGAAGGACTCTCACTTTTTCCCGTGTTTGTTACATTTGTTCTATATTATAATTTCTACTGATATGCTCAACATAGCCATCAGCCTTACCTTGGTTTCCCCACATTAGTATTGGTATTACATTAGTCACCTGGCAGTCCTGTGATGCCCCAAGAGAGTTTTAGGTAGGAGCTTCCACTCTTACTCTAGATCTCCAGTCTTCCTCTAGATTTTTGTACTTGAGGGCTCAGAAGGAAAGAAGTCTTTTCAATGAAACTACTAACCTGATGACAACGGTGTGAAATGAGCTTCATGATGAGAAGAGGGCTTAGGCCCAGAAGTGACAGGAATAGCTGCAAATGTAGGAATTTTTCAAGGGAGAAGGTGAACATGGTCAGAATCATGGGGACACGATGGGATAGTGCCCACTACTGGAACATGATCATGGGAGGGTACCTTCACAGGGAAGAGGAGTAGGATTTATGCTCTACATTAAAGTGTTTCTTGACATGCAGAGCTCCCATCTGAAAGTATAGACAACTGTCAGAGATGGGAGGAAAATGAGGGATGTTGTGATGGGGTCTGTTATAGACCACCTGATCGAGACAAAGTAGTGAAGGAGGATTTCCACAAATGGAAAGGCAGAAGTCTCCGCGGCTTTCGAGACAATTTCAGCCATGTGGACAACTGCTAGGAGGAGCAATGCCAGAATTCTTAGACTGTACTAATGACAATATCTTAATGTAAATACTGGATGGGCAATGCTGAGGACTGGAAGTAGGGATGAACTGGTGATAAATATGATCCCAGGTGGCAGCCCAGGCCATACATGATGACAAAGTGAATGATCTACTGCAAAGCTGGGGAGTTAAGTAACAGAATTAGTGCTCTAGACTTCGTAAGACTTGAGTTCACTATAATCAGGCAACTGCTAGTTGGAAGACACTAGGCAGCAGCTGTGAAAAAGAAAACTGCTCAGGAAAGATGGTTGGGTTTTAATACCAAATTGTTGAGACCTCTGCTTGTTAGCTGCCTTGTTCCCTAGAAAGGCTGTGGATTTCATCTTAGTTAAGCAGGAAACATTCTGATGAATTAAACCACAAAAATAAATAAGAGGTGGAGACAAGGACTGGTAACAAAATAGGAAGTTGCCTGGACACCTAGGGACATTAAGCATAACAGTTCCACATGGATGATGCACAAGGAAGAATATTTGTCTGCTGCTGAACATGAGAGAACACCTAGTGAGAGATGATACAGAAAGCACTTAGGTATGCAGGACCTTTTCTTCACCAGTCTTCATAGACTAAGCTTGTCCGCAGGCATGTGCATCTTCCAACAGAGTTTGAGGAGGAAAGGGATAACCAGCAGTGTAGAAATCCTAACACACTAAGTAGTGAAGCTGGAATTACTCAGAGAAGCTGGATGTGTTTGTATCCAAGGGGCTAGCTGGGACTCATAAAAGGATGCTAAAGAGGTTTACCTGTAATTGCCCATTGTTGCAAGGCCTATGTTTATGATTGGTGAAAAATGATGACACATGAGGAAGATCCCATATGACTGGAAAAAGACTAATGTTATATCCATCTTTAGAAAAGGTGAGAAGAGGAATCGGTGAAACTATAGGCTGTTCAGTTTCACTTTAATTATTTGAGAGATCACAGAATATGTCCTCTTGTTATTTACTGAGAAGGACAAAGAGCAGCCAACATGTATTTACCAGGGAAAGGAATCATGTTTGACCATCCTGACCGGCTTCTACCATGAAGTGACTATTGTCTCTTATCGGTTATTTTCTGATAACAGTCATGACCTGAATTCCTTGAACAGCATAAGCATGGAGAAATATTAACACAGGACTTCAGTGCTGGACAAGGCAAGAGCTTGGAGAAGCTCATCCTCATAATTTCCACCTCTCTTGAGTGCAGTCTGTTTGGTATGAGTCCACTGTTCAATCAAAAAGGCAGACAAGGCCATTGCCAGCGTATGTTCCAGACAACTGAATGCTTCATCTTTCTCTAGGAATATGCGAGTGGCAGCTGAACATATAGGGAAATTTAGTAGTCATCTATTCCTACATGAAGAACTATTTTGTGAAGGTTTTATGATCAGATCAGATATTAAATGCACTCCATATTTAGACAAATATTCCAAACTACTACACTAGTCTTCTGGTAATGGACAGCTCTTCTTCCTAATCCGTGTGAAAGGATTAGCATTCTGAGAAATTTCAGCTGTCCCTGTAACTTTTCTAGTGAGCTCATGAGTGATCTCTGGGTTTAGATTCCAATCTGGGGCCCAAAGTGTGGGTGCTGCAGTGCCAGAGCACTCTTGGAAGGGAATCCTACAGCACAGGGCATCATCTGGTGCCACATATTATGCTGGATCCCAGATATTGTTTTTCTCACCTCTTCTGTGTATTATTCACTGAGATATTTTAATGATTGATATATGCATGCACAAGCATATATTTTAATTTGATGCCTCAAAAGTCATCCCAGGCATCTATTCAAGAGCTCAATTTCAAAGTAAAATCTCCCATTACTTGGGTTCAGCCATCCAACTAACTGTTTTTCAAGCCCTCTCAGCTATTGAGAGTGTCCTATGCAGAAACCTCAGCTATAATACATTTTGACCTCCTGCTTTTGAGAAAATACCACTGAAAAGTGTCTCTTAGGAACAATTATGTGCTGTTTTCTGGCATACTTTTCCTTTTCCACTCAATGCACATGTTCCTAAAGCATTATAGACATTATCATCCTCATTGCGTGACTGAAAAGTTGTGGTATAAACACACCAAGGAAACTAGCATGGGTCAAGCAGCAAATCACTGAGAAAGACAGCAATAGGGATCATAAGTCCCTGCATCCAAGTTCTCTAAGTGCCTTGAGTAGTCTAGATTCTCTCCTTAACACTCTTGACAAATTATTTATAGATGTATTCACATAGTCAGTAACATACAAAAATATTCTAATTATATCATTCAAATCAAATGACAATTATGCCCTTAGTTTGCCAGACAATGCTTTGCCAAAGAAGGTTTGCCAGAAATGTTTTGACCGAAGAAAGGGGGAGCATCTGCAGCATCTGCAGATGAGACACTATAAAATCTCCCAGGGACAAGTCTGGCCTGTCTCTGCAGAAGGCTTCAAGGTAGGTGCATGCATTTTGTCAGCTTGAAGAAAGCAGACTATTGTCTTTGCAATATCTCATTCCATTATTTCTCCTGCCTCTGGCAACCATTTCTACAAGGGAGTGACCCTGTGAACAAAAATTTTAAACATGATTTCAGTGCATGTCTGTATCTTCAATCTATAATTTGTCTATGAAATTCCATGCAGCAATAAGAAACAACTGCCATTCTTATTTTACAGGATTGGTCGGTTTCCAGAATATAAGCCTTTCTCCAAAGGTAACACCTTGAATAATGCACTGCTAGACTATAGTCTAAGACAGGACTTCCATACAGCTGCATAAGCTGTCTTCATAAATCCTCTTATATGTCTACCAACTTGCTCCAGGCTAGACTGCTGAAAAGAGTGAGAGTGGGGTTTTTATCTGAAAAGTAATTCTTCGTTTTCAGCACACAAGGTAACATTTCTAAATAAGAAAGTACACTGAATAGTCACCACTCATAATTAAGTATCAGAACAGAGAGTGATTTCCTTGGGCTGTAGATCCTTTCATGTGAAGAACTCTCATCTGGTCAGAATTCAGCAAGGTGAGTTACCAAACTCATCAATATGCAGATGTTCTATTTACTGTTGGCCTATGTGTTTTAGAAGACTAAGTCTCACTCTTCAGTGCAAGTAGGGTACTTTTAAGTTCAAAGTGGAATACAGTGGTTGCTTCTGCGAGAATTTCTAGGAGAGTATTAGCAATTTATTAGGTAAAAAAGCAAGGAGTTTTCCCACGGATATAGATTATGTTATTCTTCTCAGTGATCCACAACCTTTTTAACTCCACCAGACACCTCTGCTGACGTGCTTTTGGTAAAGTGCAGACATGGCCTCTGGAGATGCTGAGATGGCTGTTTTTGGGGAGGCAGCTCCTTACCTCCGAAAGTCAGAAAAGGAGAGAATCGAGGCTCAGAACAAGCCTTTTGATGCCAAGTCATCTGTCTTTGTGGCCCATCCTAAAGAGTCCTTTGTGAAAGGGACAATCCAGAGCAGGGAATCAGGGAAGGTCACTGTCAAGACTGAAGGTGGAGAGGTAAGTGGAAGAACAAGGCTGAAGGACAGCACTTGATTCCCACGCTGAGCTTTTAGCTGCCATGCATTTCCTTGGCAGACCCTGACCGTGAAGGAAGATCAAGTCTTCTCCATGAACCCTCCCAAGTACGATAAAATCGAGGACATGGCCATGATGACCCACCTCCACGAGCCCGCTGTGCTGTACAACCTCAAAGAGCGTTACGCAGCCTGGATGATCTACGTAAGTACCAGCAGCAGTCTTCCTCTGGGCAGCTCAGGGGAACTGCTCTGCCGGCTTTCCTGGCAGACCTACTCGGGTCTCTTCTGCGTCCCCGTCAACCCCTACAAGTGGCTGCCGGTGTACAACCCGGAGGTGGTGTTGGCCTACCGAGGCAAGAAGCGCCAGGAGGCCCCTCCACACATCTTCTCCATCTCTGACAACGCCTATCAGTTCATGCTGACTGGTGAGTGCTTGATTTCCTTTGTACTACTTTGCCGTCTGTAAAGGGAAATGTAGGATATTCTCTGGAAATAGGGTGCAATAGTTACAATACTGTGTGTGTGAAATTCATGGAGGATGTATGCACTTTACTGTAATGGTCAGTGTGAGCAAGAATCGGAGCTAATAAGGAAAACAAAATATATCTGCACTGAACAGGGACGTAAGCTTTACTTGATTATTATGCAAACAGCATTCAGTATGGAAAAGATGATCAGGTGTTCTAAAGTACATACAGCTGTTAATGATCAATGCAGCCCCTACACTGATCTATGCAACTTTAAATCACTTACACTTTACACTGATAAGTAAGCATCAGATAGCAATGTCAAGGAAAAAAATAAAGCTTTTAGCATTTAAGTTGCATGACATAAAAAAAAAAGTTCTTTCTGCTTTTTCGTTTTCCTTCTGCCTCCTATTTTCTCTTCCCTGTGTGCATTCAAATCAAAAACATGAAGTATTTTAGGTCTTCTTTTCCTGTTCTTTTGTTACAAACTAGGAGATAGAAAAATGAAAAATCAACCCTATTCTGGATCTATCTGTGTATGATCTCAGGAATACATAATTTCTCTCTATATAGGGACTGGAAAAAAAAGAAAGATGAAAAATAATGAAAGAGGCTGGTCAGATGTTTCTGTTGTTCGTGGTGCCTCCAAATTTTCACAGATTGGAAATTTTAGCTTCAAAAGATTTTACATGCCGTCAAAGCACATCCTCAATATATTCATTACATTTACTTACCTAATAAGAGAGAGACAAGTAGCCTGATGATAAGACAGTATCTCGAAAGGCACAAGACTACAAAAGCAGCTCTGAAGTGATATTTACTAATCCAGTTGATGATACCTTAAGTACCTCTGAGAGCAACTGAAAATACACATTAGAGTTCCCAGGGCTTTTCACTGTCTTCTGTCTCTGCATCCTCTGGAAGCTTCAGTTAATATTTTTCTACTAGTTTTTGGGTTATCTGATATTTGTGAGCAGTAGGAAAACTTTCTTATCTCTGTCTTTTCACAGATCGCGAGAACCAGTCGATCCTGATCACGTATGTACATCCCCGCTCGGGTCCCCACAGGGCTGCCCTGTGCCAGGGAACCTCCTGCCTGACCACACGCTCTCTGCTTCTCTCTTTGCTTTGACAGCGGAGAATCCGGTGCCGGGAAGACTGTGAACACCAAGCGTGTCATCCAGTACTTTGCAACAATTGCAGCCAGTGGGGATAAGAAGAAGGAGGAGCAGACATCAGGCAAAATGCAGGTGAGTCAGGTAGAGCAGACTGAATGCTTGGTATGTAATTGCTTTGTCAACTAAACACTGTAACTCAATAATGATCATCCTGCAGGGAACGCTTGAGGATCAAATCATCAGCGCCAACCCACTGCTGGAGGCCTTTGGCAATGCCAAGACTGTGAGGAACGACAACTCCTCACGCTTTGTGAGTTGTTGCTTTGCACAAAATCTCGCCTTATTATAACAGCAGTGATCAGCTATTGGCATTCTCACATAGGGAGATGGCAATGAAACGCATCCAGGCTGAAATGCTTCTTCTTCTCCTCAACAGGGCAAATTCATCAGAATCCACTTTGGAGCTACAGGCAAACTGGCTTCTGCTGACATTGAAACCTGTAAGAGACTCTCCTGGACTGATCCTGTTCTTTCTAATCCTTCCTAGTTCTCATCTAACCTTGTCCTACTGTCCTTACCAGATCTTCTGGAGAAGTCAAGAGTCACTTTCCAGCTTAAGGCAGAAAGAAGCTACCACATATTCTACCAGATCATGTCCAACAAGAAACCGGAGCTCATTGGTAGGAAAGATCACTAAATTTTTGAAGGAAAAGTCAGTGAGTAATGTTCATTATGCCATCTGGAAAGATGATGTAAGTTTGGTTTTCTTCTTTTATTACTTCCAGATATGCTCCTCATTACCACCAACCCTTATGATTTCCAGTTTGTGAGTCAAGGTGAAATCACCGTTCCAAGCATTGATGACCAGGAGGAACTGATGGCCACAGATGTAAGTAACTTGCAAAACAGGTCATCTGGTGGACAGAAGCCCTGGTACACATATGTTTACTTTACTGTTTCTGTTGCCAGAGTGCCATAGACATCCTGGGCTTCAGCGCTGATGAGAAGACAGCCATCTACAAGCTGACAGGGGCTGTCATGCACTACGGGAACCTGAAGTTCAAGCAGAAACAGCGAGAGGAGCAGGCAGAGCCTGATGGCACAGAAGGTATCAGTAGCTCAACAAAGAAAGAGATTGTCACCAAAAGGACTTAGGCATGTTTCAGGCTTTAAATACATAAAAGTTTAAATGAAAATGTATTTCTCCAACATCTAGGTGAGAGTTGAGACATGTATCTCATCTAATAATATATGTAATTTTATTCTGTGACTACTTAATAAGAGATCTGGTGTGCGCTGTCAGGAAGCCAGGAGGTATGGATGTCAGCTCCTGTAACATTGTTAGTTATAGTTTAGTTGGAACACAACTTGCAATCGCTGTTGTACTGTGGATTCATGAAGTGGTTCAGTGTTAACAGGGCAGGAGGCTGTGCTCCTAGTCACCTTCACCTATTGGGTGGAATGCTGATTTGAGATGTTTTTGATTTGCCTCTGTCATAGCAGAAAGTAGAGTCTGTGCCTCCAGCTCTCTGAGTAATGAGTGCCTTTTCTGTATGACTAGGAAAAATGTATGAAGTCCCATACTCATGCCTTAAAAAGGATGAAAGCAAGGAGCTCTCCTGAAGGACATTTGTAGAAACTAAAACTCAGAAAGTGCTGTAGACTGAATCCTGAATCTTCGTAGCTTTCACTCAGATATTTTTGTGTAACTTGCTAACAGTGAACACTGCTGTTACTTTTGAGACAGTTACTCCAGGACCAAATTTTAAGAATTTCACAAAATTTATTTCTCTCTCACTCTTCTCTGGTGTTTAGTGGCTGACAAGGCTGCCTACCTGATGGGCCTGAACTCAGCTGAATTGCTGAAAGCCCTGTGTTATCCCCGAGTCAAGGTCGGCAATGAATTCGTGACCAAAGGTCAAAATGTGTCACAGGTAAAGTCTGGAGGTTGAAAATACTTGGCTTGAAAGAGTCCTTGCACATTCTTCTTTCACCCTAGGAGGTAACTCTGGCCTTTTCTTCTCTGCTGTAGGTGAACAATGCCGTTGGGGCCCTGGCAAAAGCTGTCTATGAGAAGATGTTCCTGTGGATGGTTGTTCGCATCAACCAACAGCTGGATACCAAGCAGCCCAGGCAGTACTTCATTGGTGTCCTGGACATTGCTGGCTTTGAGATCTTTGATGTAAGGAACAGTTTTCCTAACATTTTCATAGGCCAACTGAGAGTAAAGGGAATTTTAAGACATATTTTTAACAGAAGTTGATCTTTTCCTACACTTATTTGCAAGGCTTTTGGAATAAACTTTTTTAATTCTGAAAAAACCCCCCAACAACAGCCTAATCTCTATTTACACTGAATTTGAAACCTTCACTCTTTCTAAATACAAAACCTATCCTAGAGAGATAGCACAGGAAAACTACACAGGAAGAGGTCTTGTATGTAAATACAAGACACTGGGCTTCTCGGTTCAAGAAAGGTGGGGAACTGCTGGAGACAGTCCAGTGGAGGGCAATGAAGATGATTTGGGAACTCGAGCATGTCTCTTACGAGGAAAGGCTGAGAGAGCTGGGACTATACAGACTGGAGAAGAGAAGGCTGAGAGGAGACCTTACAAGTCTTATAATGTCTATAAATGTTATAACATTAAATTATAACTTAATATATAATTTATATCTATAAACATCTGAAGGCGAGGTGCAGGAAGGATGGAGTCAAACTCTTTTCAGTAGTGCCCAGTGACAGTACAAGGGTGAATAGGCACAAGCTGGAACACAGGAAGTTTCATCAAAATATGAGGAAGAACTTTTTTACTGAGAGGGTGATGGAGTCCTGGCACAGGCTACTCAGGGAGGTTGTGGTGTCTCCATCTTTGGAGACTTTCAAAACCCACCTGGATGGTCTTATGTGATGTGCTCTAGGCAATTGTGAGCACAGCAGCGAGATTGGACTAGATCATCTCTGGACGTCCCTTCCACCTCTGATGATTCTGTGATGCTGTGATCACCTATTATAAATGAGGATTGCACAAAACCCCATCCTGCTATTATTGCTGTGCCTTGAAAATGTTGGATGTCTTTTTATGCTTCGCAGTTCAACAGCTTTGAGCAGCTGTGCATCAACTTCACCAATGAGAAACTGCAACAGTTCTTCAACCACCACATGTTCGTGCTGGAGCAGGAGGAGTACAAGAAGGAAGGAATTGAATGGACATTCATTGACTTTGGGATGGACCTGGCTGCCTGCATTGAGCTCATTGAGAAGGTATCCTTCCTGTTCAAGTCTATTACATGTTGGATTTTCCATTATTGCCAAGAGACAAACTTAAGAAGCATGTAAATATTCTGGCTTTTTCAACCCTGTGAAAGTGTCAACAAGGTGAAAGTGTTTTGGAGATCACACAGAGATATCAAGAAGTTTGGTAAGAGTATTCATTTCCAGACTGCAAAATGAAGTTATATAAAAGACTGTCATGTTTGGTAATATTTACCAGTAAAGATATTGTATGGAAAGGATAGTGTTTCACAGTGTCGTATCTGTAATTTTTTCATTAGCAAATCTGTTTATATGAGTTCAAATGAAAGAGAAACACTGAAGAAAGTTCAGCCTTCATTAATTTGTTGACTTATTGTCGTGAAATGGGAACAACTTTCTCTTCTGACTCCAGCAATTTTCAAAACAAGGGATGTTTCCTTTCTAATTTGTTTCTTCCTCTTGTCTGTTGTAATGTCTTCCAGCCCATGGGCATCTTCTCCATCCTGGAAGAGGAGTGCATGTTCCCCAAGGCAACTGACACCTCTTTCAAGAACAAGCTCTATGACCAGCACCTGGGCAAGTCCAGCAACTTCCAGAAGCCCAAACCTGCCAAAGGCAAGGCTGAGGCTCACTTCTCCCTGGTGCACTACGCTGGCACGGTGGACTACAACATCACTGGCTGGCTGGAGAAGAACAAGGACCCTCTGAATGAAACTGTCATTGGGTTGTATCAGAAATCGTCTGTGAAGACACTGGCCTTACTCTTTGCCAACTATGGTGGAGCAGATGCAGGTCAGCTCTGTGAAAATTTTATTTGCAGTATGGGACAAAGTTGACACCAAATTAAAGCAGTAACCACTAAGCAGTTAAAGTTGTGTTGTTGTTTTTTTTCTGTGGTCTTCAATATGCAACATCTATATTTTAATACTTTTTTTCTTTTCTTTCATTTGCAGAGGCTGGTGGTGGTGGCAAGAAGGGAGGCAAGAAGAAGGGTTCTTCTTTCCAGACTGTCTCAGCTCTTTTCCGGGTACAGTACTGTGTTTGTTATCTCTTTGTGGTATGAAGAAAGGGGGTGAGCTAATATTCTGTTTGGAAGGGCTATTTTGCGTTGCTGTAATGGCAGTAAAAGTCTTTGGAAATTCCATGTGAGTTTTTCCAGGATCAACTGCAATATTGCTAATATGTTATGTTCAAAAATCAGCATTCGATCTTGGAATATCGTGAAAATTGAATCAATTTGTTGTTGTTGGAGAGGATGTTATTCAAGTCTATATTTTTATGTCTTTGGGTCAAACTAGAACTATAATTATAGCATTCTTGCATTTCTGTGAGGTTGATATGTTGTGGAATTGGGTCTCCTTATAAATATTCTCCAAGGAGATATTCATCTTATTTGAAAAAATCCCACTTTTAAAAATTTAAGTAGCTTGACTTTAGAAAGCAGAATATGAAAAATGTGAAAGTTAATCACTCTATGTGAAACTAGTTATGTGAAATTGTATATTCATTTCCACTTAATCAATAGAAATGTAGTACTATTTCAGTCTGTAAAATGGTGTTCAGTACTTTCACATGGAACAAATATTTTGTTTCTGCGCCTTTACCAAAGTGTTCTGAAACCCAGCTCATTTTCAGAAGTCATAAAGTTGTTACCATGGGCTTGATGCATCAGCCATTCAGTCTTTAAAATAGTGTTCAATGCTTTCAAATACGAGAAGTATTTGGTTTCTGTGCCTTTACCTAAGTATTCTGAAATTCAGCTCATTTTGAGAAGTCGTGAAGTCATTACCATGGGCTTGATGCATCAGCCCCTGGACATAGGAAGCTCACATTAGTAACTGGTCCCCCTAGGAGAACCTAAACAAGCTGATGACCAATCT